TAATTTAGAAAATCATTCTTATTCTTCATAATTACGCTTTTAAAAAATGATATAATGCAATTTTCTTAAATTTTTAAAACCCAGAAATCTTCCAATTTTATTATTTTGGGTGTGTTATCTTAGGATTTGTAATTATTTTAACTTGTAAAAGTAGTAGCCTATTTAAATTAAATAGAATAATCAGATTGATTATGTGTATATTTAACCCTTTCAATTCCATGTGGTTGTTACTTCAAAACTGTAGATCCTAAAAAAATGTTTTGGTTTTTCTTAGTCACTAGTCACTTAGTGTTGCTAGCAGAGAGTGAGCAGGAGTTGCAAGACCTAGTGGAGCAAGTAAACAGGAGTACAGAATTTGGATTAGATATAAATTTGAAAAAGACAAAAAAACATGATATTTAGCAAAGAAAATAATCAGCTAACAATGAATATCACAGTGAACGGGGTGAAAGTGGAACAAGTTAAAAATTTCTTATATCTTGGACAAGTAATAACATGTGACGGGCAGAAGTGAAACAGAAGTCAAGAAAAGAATAGGGATAGCCAAAAACATTATCAACAACATGCAAAAGTTTCTGACATCAAGAGAAATAAGCAATACATTAAAAATGAGAATTGTCAAATGTTATGTATTCTCAACCTTACTGTATGGCACAGATACATGGACAATGAACAAACAACTGGAAAATCGTATCAATTCTTTGGAGATGTGGATATACAGAAGATTAGGTCGTATTTCATGGAAACAAAAGCTATCAAATACAGAGGTACTGAGGAAATTGGGAATGAAAAGAGAGCTGCTAGGTGAAATAAAAAAGAGACAAGTGAAATATTTTGGCAACATTAAAAGACATAACAGTATTGTAAAGATCATCCTAGAGGGAAAGGTTCAAGGTAGGCATGCAAAAGGCAGACAGCGTTACAAGTGGGAGGATAACATCAAGAGATGGACGAACAGCAGTATGAGTGAGTGTACATCAAGGGCAAGAGACGGGGCTTGTTGGAGATCCATTGCAGCCAACCTTCATTGTGGAGACGGCACCTGATTGATTGATTGAGTCACTAGTGCAGTAAATGTTTTATTCCTATAGAACTGAACAAAACAGGCTTAAGTTATAAGTAGATGCACTAATAATAGTGAGATACAGAAGAATTTAACAGTAAAAGGAAAGATGAGTGTACTATATGAAGAGTAACAGTAACTAAATAACAGCGTGCGTTCCTTGGTACTGAAAGTGTTAAAAAGAATATTTATTTTAAAGTTTTGAGATTAGCTAGTATAGTTTAAAATGATAAGGGCCTTGTCTTTATAAAGCTTTGGGCCTTAGCTTTGTAGAGCTTTGTGCCTTAGCTTTGTAAAGCTTCCTGCCTTGGCTTTGTAAAGCTTCGGGCCTTAGCTTTGTAAAGCTTCGTCACTTCATGCCTTAGCTTTGTAAAGCTTCGGACCTTAGCTTTTTGCCTTAGCTTTGTAAAGCTTCAGACCTCATCAGGTCTAAATGTGGCCTTGCTTGGGACTAAAAATTTTACCTCTTCAAGTGTTATGTACTGGCCATATTTTTTTTTGATTGCTTATTTATTTCCCACTCATTTCATCTGCAAGCTGTATCTAATTCGACTTAGTTTATTCTCAATTTTAGAGGGGGTAATATGTGTTAAAAGAAGCTAAAATAATAACACAGGGCAAAATAAGTTAAACTAACACTTCGCAAAGAATTTTCTTCTTAGCATTCACAAGCTGTAACTAACTCTAATGGAAAGTTCTGGTTGTTTGTCCTTTTTGTCTTAAACCAGAACTTGGATTTTGTGTGCATACACATTTTAAAGATTTTGCTTACTTGTATACAGATTGTTGGTTTCTTGCCTTTTTGCAAAGAATGAGTTAATGAATGTAACTAACTACTATCTGCCACAGAAGTGATTATAAAAAGTATCTATCAAATAAGCTTTGGTTGCACAGTATTGAAAATGCCTTAAAACACCTTCCATACCATTATTTTGTTAATTTAACCATAAGACCTTTCTCACCCTCGTCAAAACAAAACAAAAAGTACTAGATGTCCATTTCACATAACCCTTTAATGTTGAATTAGGAATTGACACCCTAGCACTCAGGCATTCCCATAAGCGCTTCATCCCCATCTTCAGCAGTAAGCGAATTCCAATTCCGATGGTACCAGTAACTGCCTGATTGTACATCCATCTCGCATTTCCCTGAGCTTCGGCCAGATCCACTGGCAACTTCTCACAACACCATTCTCCTCAGGCTAATGCTCTATCTGTGCCTCTGCAGTGTTCACTTGCTCTCAGAGGGCCCTAACATGTCTAGCTTTTCATACATCAGTTCACTAAAAGGTGCAGAACTAGCCAGTCTCTGCCTGTTCATTTCCTAACACATAGGGCCATAAGGCACATATATCACAGCCAGGCTTTAAACCACAACACAGAATGCCCATCACCCTTTTGAAGGTGAACACAAGAACTGCTGAAGGCAATACCAAAGTGTTTAGGCACACCTATGCCTCGATCAAATTAAAGAGGTATAACCACATGTGGAACAAATTGTTCCACAAAGAGACAACCTGGATCATTGACGTACTAAGTGTAACTACAAACAGGTACAGAAAAAACCCCCACCCCAGATTTAATCACAAAGTCTGACTGTGTTTGCTGAAATGTCACTTGAAATTTTAAGTGAACCTTGGGCCAAAAACATAGCCTGACACACAAAAAAAGGAATAGATAGCATTACTCTTAGTCCATATTACTTTCACTGGGGGGGGGGGGGGGGGTAACAAGTGTCGTAGTAGTGCAGAAGCTTTTCTGCATACTTGTTAATCAAATCACATGTTTTAACACTCAAGACAAGCAAAATAAAATCACATGACAACTTTGTTTGATCCACTCTAAACGGTGACAGGAAAATTAAGTCAGAATCTCTGTGTGGATTCTTCAACCCCATTTTGTGAGAGGTTAGAAGAAAAAAAAAGTCACTGTTCCTTTACAAGCATATCCGAATGGCTGATAATTAATGTTTTTTTTTTACTGAAAATGGACCTGTAAGCATAACGACTTCAGCAGTTTAAAGGGTGACTACAGAAAAATCACTCATTAATTACTCATTATTATCTTTAATCTGTTTATAAATATTTTGGCTAGTTTTGTCTAAAGTTGTGAACAAAGGGCCTTTATTTCTCTAATGTTATCTGGTAAGTAAATGAGACACCAGCTACAGTATTCAATGTTTCAGTAAACCCATGTGGATTCCTTGTCCCTTGTTGGGGTAAAACAAATTAGGCTCACTGTCGCCACATAGGGCAGTTTGTTCTGTACAGTTAGGCTGTAATATCTTCATCTTTGGTCTAACATATCTGATTTTTGTAGTCCCATAATCAGTCTTTTTTAACATCCTAAGGGGTTGGGGGGTGGGGGGAAAACATTAAAGACAGCAATAACGGATCAAGCAGATGTAAGACTAGATAAAGTAACAGATCAGTTGTCTTATTTAGATAGTAATTTTGCCAGTCACTGAGGTAAAAAGAAAGAAATTATGACACATATTGGCAAGGTATTAGCAGCTTTCAAAAGTCTGAATGTTCCCCGTGAGGGTTCTGGGGCCCCATCGTGGGAAAAACAAGAATAGACCCTCTGCCTACCCAAAAGCATGTCGTAAGAGTCGACTAATTGGGGAGCTTTCTTTGAAGTCGGAGTGCATCTGCCTGAGAGGTAAGTAACCAACAGTCTGCATTCAAGTGAATCAGATCTGTAAAACTGATGCACACGCAACACTCAGGTTCTGGAGCAGGACTACAGTTCAGAAGTGGACGAACAACCAGAACTTTCCGCTAGAGTGTACAGCTGGTGAACGCGAAGAAGAAGAAGAAAAGTCTAAATAAAAAATGGAACTCTACTGTTTAGTTTTAAAACAAAGTTATGTATTTTCAGTTCTAATGTTATTTAAGTTGTAACCATTGTGTTGAGTCAAGAATTGACATCACAGCACTTAGAGCATTCCCATGCACGCTCTATCCTTATCTTCAGCAGCCAGAGCAGAGTTCCAATACTGTTGGTACTGTTTTAACATATACTAGTGAAAGCCAGAGAACCACTAAAAATGCGGAACAAAAGTTAAATGCATTTAAAAACAAATGCCAGAGGAAAATGTTGTTCATAAATTTGGATGAATTCAAGAGGGGTACAGAAATAAGAGAAATGTCTGGCAACCTCTGGTAACAGCAATATAAGACAAAGATGATGGCAGTACATTGGAACATCCTGAGAAGAAACCAGCAGAGAACCACCGAACAGGCACTAAAATGAGAAATTAAGGAAGTGACAACGTCCAAAAAAACCCCAAAATGCTCATTGATGAGAGGCTGAAAATGCTAGACTGTGATATTGAACTGATCGCACTGGATCTAAGGGAATGAAGGAATAGTCTGTGAGCCCTATGTGACAACAATGGCACTACAGGAAAATAATGATGATGATATTAGGGCAGTATGTCTGGCCATTTTTTGCCACAAAAATGATCACCCTGAACCTACGAGGGAGACAGGTTTGCTGAAGTCAGGTGTGTTGAGCCAAAAGATGCAGATATCACAGCCTAGCTATAAACCGCTGTCTAACAAAACAACACCCTTTTAAAGGTAAACGCAGAAGTGTTTATGATATTTATTGGGAACATCTTAGGTATGTTTCCTCACTTGATTGTTGTAACTACCGATGCATTCATTAATAATAAATGACTAGAGCTTCAAAGTAATGAATTACTTTTTTAAATGCTGATTTAAAAACAAAATATTAGATGTTTACCTTAAAATATGTTCCCTAGTACAAATGCAACTGTTTGATAGTCTTACCTTTTCATTTTTGTGAAATATTGACTGGGATGGTTTATGCAGTATCACTAAACAGCTGTTGTCTTTTCTCTTTCAGTTTTTGAAAAACTGTTTTCTTGATGAAGGCAGCATTTGAGTAGATAATAAAAACAAGATCTGATCATGGCTAAAGTACTATTTGTGATCTGTGTACCTTCTGAAGAAGCTAAAACTGAAAAAAATGGTTGTGGAGACAAAGACAATAAAAAAGATAATGACAGTACCAAGGATACAGGTAAGAGTTTAACAAATTGCTGCAATGTGTTTAAAACTGTGCAGCTACAATGCACAATTTATTGTAAATATTTGTAAATTTGTGTTGATTTTATTGTTTATAAATTGATTGCTAATTTTTTAGTATATGTTTTTTTTTATTTCCATGGGGGGGGGGGGGGGGGGGAGAGAAGAAGAATAGACCCCCCCCCCCCACACACACATACACACCATGTCATAAAAGTCAAACTAACTAGGGGTTTCCTTCAAAGTTCTTCCTGAGAGGCAAAGAACTTTAAAAGTTTGCATACAAATAAGCCAGATTTGTAAAGTAGATGTGCACACATTATTCAAGTTTTGGAACAAGACAAGTTCAGAGGTGGATCAAAAACCATAGCTTTTTCAAAGTGTTTACAGTCGGTGAACGCCAAGAAGATTGTTCACTTTGGTGTTGAAGAAAAATTATCTATACAGGTTATTTGAAATTGAATAGTAAAACAGATACCAGTGGTATGGTGGCTTTGGCAGCATGCAAGGCTTTTTTTTTTAGATGAAACATACCAGTACCCTCAACAGAGTATTAAAAAATGCCAGTACTGCTCATAATAAAGTGTCTATCCTATCACAGCAGTGCCGAAAGAAAACTGACAGCCAAAAAAATGCGGGTACTGCCAAATGTTGCATACCACAAGAAAAATACCACAGTCACAAGTATGGGGAAAGTTAAGATCCTTGTGTTGTGTATAAGGAAAAACCCCATACCTCACTTTCGCATTATATTACTCAGACGTGTCAGATCTGTCAAACAGATGCACACGCAACACTCAGGTTCTGGAACAGGACTGCAGTCCAGAAGTGGACAAACAACCAGAACTTCCCACCAGAGTTTACAGCTGGTGAACGCAAAATATAAGTTTATTTATAGATATCCATATATTAATATTATCATCTAATAGACCACACTTAGAGACATCAGATTATTGAATTTCTAAATATAAAGAGCACATTTTAAATGCTTCATTTTGTTTTTTTTGAATTTAGATGATGACCTCGATTCAGAAGTTATGAGTGCTTCTGTCAGACGTCTGAAGCTCCCTAGGAATTCTCTTCCTGCCTTGTTTGAAACTGGCGATACAAATATAACGGTGACAGGAGATTCAAATGCTGATGTTACAGACATGAATTTGAAAACTTCAGGCCAAGGAAAAGGGAGAAAATCCTCCTTAAAAAATATCTTTTTGGATGTGGGTGGAAACAAGAATTCAAACACTGATCCTGGGAAAACTTTGACTAAATCCAGTTCCTGTGGTTTACCCAGACTGTCACTATTGAAAAATACGGATGAGGCATCTGAAATAAAGAAAATGGAAAATGGATTAAATGACAAGAAAGTTAAAGTTGATGATGTGGATTTAAACAAGAAGGTTGAGAAGCAGTGTAATAATTTTGAGAAACGTGAACAAAATGGCCATGTTGATAATGTTGACCACGAAACAGAATATATCAGCTTTATATCTGATGGATTAACACTTTTGGATGTAAGTAGCGTACAAATTCTGCATGAATTATGTTCTTTGAATGTAATTGTTATTGTTGGCATCTTTCTGTCTTTCCAGACAACATTATTATATTGTGCTGTGGGGAGGTATCTGAATACCTCCTCTCCATTAGCACAAAGTCTGGGCAATACTGTAAAGACCATGTGTTCATACATCATAGTCCTTCTCTCAGCCTACCTTGTTTACTGCAAAGGAAAAGTGATATCAAAACATCTGGAACAAAGCATTCTACAGAAGCTGCTAAATCAGAAGAGCACTGCTATATCTTCCTGTCACAGCTTCCCTCCTAGACCAACTATTAGACAAGGCTAAGAACCTGGTTTGCCCTACCATAATATTCATTTTCAAGTTGCATTTCCTTTTCCTAGAGCAGGGCTGGTATCCTCCTCTGTATGCTTCTAGTGTAGTATAGCCCATGCTTTGTTGTCCTGCCTTCTAACCCCCACTGGACCATGCACCCTCACGGCCATTGCTCTCACATGCAGCTCTCCCCATATCCTCCCCACCTTTCGAACTTCATTGTCTAGCTCCCTTCTCCATGTGTTTCTTAGTCTTCCTTTATGTTTTACGACCCTGTGGATTTCAGTGCAAAGTCATTCTAGTTATATTGTGCTCAGATTTTCTCAGTGTGTGTCCTATCCAACGCCAGTGTCTTTTCTACACGTCTTAATCTACTGGAACAATGTGCCTCATGTGTAGTTTAGCATACGTATAACCCATGTCTTGTTGCATTGGTTTTCTCATTTGTCCACAGTCTAATGTAAGTAAAGTAAAGGAGCTTTTTCCTTGCCTTCAGGCATATTAGCATTTGGTGTAAGCACTGTTTTTTTGTAGAGCAGGCAACACTCGGTGAGTGATGTGGTCAGCATTATGTTGGCACCCTCTATTTCCAGTAACTTTGCCTGGTACCCATTCAAGGCTTAGTTGAGGTGGGAGCCAAGGGTAAATACAACAGTCAGTTTCTGCCAGAACCTGAACACATGATCTTACGATTGGCAGTTGAGCGGTTAGCTGCTAAACCACAGCGGCTCACTCTCCTGTCTCATGTACCATCAATGATTTCTGATACCCGTTTTTAGCACTACACTCAATGTATAATCCGTGTTTTGAGAAAATTATACCTGAACACTGAGCAGCAAATTAACACTGCAGCTAATGAAATGTAATACTTTGTTTTGACCTATCCTGATTAGGAATTCAGATGTGTGCCTTTGAACTATTGTAAGTTGACAAATGACAGCCATGAAAATGCATATGGTGAAAAATTGTCCAAACTGCATTAGATAACTTTGTCAAAATGTCAGTGATATGTTTATCCATTTTCTTATGTTGGGCTGTCAAATCTGTTCTCTTCCCTTCCCACTGCCTCTCTTCCCATTCAGCTTTCCTGTTGTTAAAGTTTTCCTCTTCTCATAGCATGACCAAAGAATATGGATTGTCTTTTCTGATGTTAGATCTCTTTGTGAGTCAACATTTTGTTTTCTAAACATCCTTGTTTTACTTTTTTCACTTGCTCATGGTGTTCTTATCATTCCTATACAAAACCACATCTTTGCCATTTCAGCATAATTTTTCATACATAAGTTGATAGTACACATTATACTATATCCCCTATAAAAATTTTTTTAAAAAAAAGGAAATTCTTTAAAGGGATTTTTTTCTTCAAAACTAGTCCCTTCTCTTCCACCTTTAGGTGTAGATGTTTGCCGGAGAGATCGCCAGACTTGTCTATCGTAGTATTCTTTTTAACCTTGCTCCATTCAAGTTTCTGTCAGTCAGTGACTGTGGGATGTTGCCTTCCCAGCGAACCCTGGGTCGTCCTGATGGTCTGGTTCTTGGTTTCTGATGGCTGCCATGATGGACGATTCTCTCCTATTCTGTATACATGTCCAAACCATCGTAACTGTGACTGACGCACTTGAGAGTGTAAGGCCTGGGTTTCAAGATTGTGATTGTGAACCTTGTCACTTGGACCACCTTTCTCAGATATCTCATTTCTGAGGCCTGTGAGTGTTGTCACTGCCCACGACTCACACCCATATATTTCGGGACTGGAACAGCTTTTTTTGTCCTCTTGCTAATTTCTCTTTTGCTGAGAAACTCTCACTTTATGGCCTGGAAAAGTCTCCAACTCCAAGGTATTTGAACTGGTTGACCCTCTCCATTGCATTTTTTTTCTCATCGTGATCTTCTTCTTCTTCTTGTGTTCACTTTCGGATTTACACTGACAGACAAGTTCTTGTGATAAACCTGACTATTTTTAGGAGTTCCCTGTTAGTTTCATACAAATTTGAGTACAGCGTTGAGTCAGGAATTGACATCACAGCCCTTACATTCCCATGTGAGCTCTGTCCTTGTCTTCAGCAGCCAGCGCAAAGTTCCACTACTGTTTGCATCAGTCACAATCTGGTTATATATCCGTCCTGCCTTTCCTCTGAGCCGGCCAGACCCTCTGGTTACAGTCAGGTGCCTCATTCTCTCAAGGCCATAATAATCTTATATCTCTACTGATTCCGTTGCTTGTTCCCAAAGGGCATTGACCACATCTGTATACTCAGGGGTTCAGTATTTCCTTCTAAATGAGCTGTGCAAGGGACGTTCTTGCAAGATATGTTCGGTAGTCTGCACTTGCAGCCAGCATAGGCACAGTGGTGAACTACCTATACTTCTTCTTCTTGTTCACCGGCTGTGAATTCCGGCGGTAAGTCGCGGTTGTTCGTCCAAAATGGACTTTTACCTTGACCTGAGTTTTGCGTGTACATCCGTTTTACTGGCTTATTTGTTTGCAGTTCTCGTTCCCCGCCTCTCCGGCAGATGTACTCCGACTTCGGAGGAAGACGTCAAGCCTATTTCTAGGTTGACTGTGGCCATTGTTTTGTGTGGATCGAGATGTTGCCACATTTGTGTGGTGTCCTCTTTGACTTTTAACAGGTGTGGCCCCCGGCATGTCGTCCTTAAGGCAGTTCTATGTAGAGTTTTCAGCCCTCAAGGGAAGGCAGGGGCAGATCATGGGCATTCCCTGCCATCCAAGGAGGCTTCCATAAATGCAGAGCCGACACATGATGCTCTGGTTCTGGGCTCACCCAAGGAATCGTCACGTCCTGCCCATGACTGCTTAACCTCACAACCGTGTATTGAGCTTCCCTCACTACAAGGCTGTGCTCTCCGGAGAACTACCTATACAAAGCCTGTTACCAGTGCTAGACTGGCCACTCACAACAAAGCAGAAATTAAAATTAGGAACCAGCAGTCTGCATATAAATTTGCCAGATATGTAAAATCAATGTGCATGCAAAACTCAATGTTCTTGAACAAGGCCAAACTCCAAAAGTGGATAAACAATCAGAACTTCCCACTAGTTTCTAGTCGATGAAGGTAAGAAAATTAGTAACCATGGAAATGATATAAATGAGAAAGGTCACATAAGTTACCGACTAGAAGACCTAAAACTTCAGAGGAAAAAAGCTGACACAGAGACAGTTCTAAATTACGTGTAAAGACAGCAAATAAAATTGTTCAACCACTTAGACTGAATGCCTTGAAACGCCATATCATACATGGTTGGGGCAACCTGATGGACAAGAACCATAATTTTTTTAAACTCTTTTGACACCTGAAGAAAAAGTAGGCAAGGAGGTGGAGAAGAAGAAGAAGAATTAATAAAATAGTTGTTCTTTCTTTTTTAAGCTCGCCCCAGCTATTGGGAAGAATAGACTTACTCCCCCCCCCCCCCCCCCCCCCCCTTACAGCAAACATGTTGTAAAGATGTCTAATTAGGGCTTTGATGCTATTGGCTATGTTGGCTTGAAATGCTTAGAAAGTGCAGCCTCTCTGTACACAATATCCTAACCATTATTTTTAGGGTGACTGCAAAAGAAATACTTCCTCAATGATTGGTGCATCGTGGTCTTATTTTTATGTGTTTTCTTTAATATAATTTTGCGATTTCCTGTTATTTATTACCACATTACTGTTGCAATTTTACCCCTGTTCTTGAAACTATAATGCAGTTATCTATCAAAATACATGACTGAGTTCCAATTTTATTTGAATTGTACCATAGATATTTCAATAATATGCAGCTGTCATAAAAAAATGCAGTTATGTGTATAATGTTTGTGTGTATGTATATAAATAGATTCCAATCTCCTTATATATAATTAGTGGTGGTTAGAAAACACAATGACCGCAACCATCTTGCCCCAGAAGTCCAGCTGGTTGTCAGTCACCACACGCTGAAGGTTGTACTGAAGACCTTATGGGCTTGTTTGATGTGCAGTGAGGATAATCTTTCAATTAACTAACAATATGTGTATATGTGTTTATATAATATATATCTCTTTGTATGTATATACCTATATTGACAATACCTTCTTTAACTTTCTCACTAGAGAGTTAAGAGGGCACTTGATTTGCTTGGCATTTCGGCTGTTAACTGGAGCCGCACAGAGGACAATGTTAATGTTGTAAGTTTCTAACCTAGCATATGTTTTATTTTAACCGATTTTTTGCTGCACATATGTTAATCTTCTACCAAGCCTTGTTTGTTTTATGGCTGGGAACATAAGTTCCCACACTGACATGTTCTTTTGTGTGTGTACACTTGCAGTTGATTTGCTTGTTTGTGTTCATTTTGTTTTTAAGTTTTTAATGCCAAACACTTTTGACATGTTGTATCATTTGTGTGCTTTATGTGCTGCCATTAATAGAAAAATACAGATTTTTATGTATTGGGGACAAGCTCAGGGGTTTCGTTTTTTTCTGGTTCTGGTGGTACACAGTGGTGCACAGGACTAGCACCATTTGTTTAGGCATTATGTTTTCAGCACTGCTATAATAAATTTTGTGGTGGGTACAGACAAGTTTTGGTGAGTACTGGCACCTCTTTTTTTTTTTTAGAAAAAGCCCTGCGATGTGACATTTGTAATCATGTATGTTTACAGCCTTCTGTCTTGTTTACTGTCAATCTCTATGGTCTTACAAAAGGGTTTTAAATGAAAACCCGAAATTGTGTGGTGGGGGAGGGGGGGGGGGGGGAAAAATAACAAATGTATATATTTTCTGTGTGATCACCACTCTAATGTGTTCGGTGCAAGTTCAGAGCTGATACATTGCCTGGCCCAGTGGTCGTAGTTTTGAATTCATTAGATACATTTTTTTAAACTTAACTGGGGTCCCAGGTCTATCTAGTGTAAAATATGTGGCAGAAAATGTCATAAGAAGCAAAGGCAGTTGGCATGATGTTTACCACAGCATCCATCAATTGCTGAAGGGTCTATCATAAGATATGTCTTCTTATATGTGTGTGTGTGTATATCATCATTATCAGGTGCCTTGCCAGCTTGCACTGGCAATCATGCCTCTCCACAATCTGTTATCTCCTGCAGCATGTATTAGTTCATGTGCTGACACACCTCCATGCCATGCAACCAGACTGTCAAGAATCTTTTCTCGTTGTCTTCCTCTATCCCTTCTACCACAGATTTTTTACAGTGGTTACGTTTCATTTTCCCTCTTCTTATAACATGGCCGAAAAATGATGACTGTCTCCTTCTGATGTCTGTGTTAAGTTGTCTTCGGGCTCCCGCCTCTTTCAAAACCTTTTGGTTGCTCTTTTTGGCTGTCCAAGGTATTTTAAGCATTCTTCTGTAAAACCACATCTCTGAGGCCTCAAGAAATTGTTTGGCCTGCCTACCGATTGTCCAGGACTCATATAAATTTGTATGTGTTTATGTGATTTTATTATATGTGTGTGTATTTCATATGTATATATATTTATGTATGTGTGTATGTATATAATATATATAAATAAAACATCACAGCACTTATTTCGGTAGTTTATTATTAACATTGCTTAAAAAAATGAACCAACGCTCTATGGGTTTCTTATACGGATTCTTATACTTTTTGATACCAATAAAACTGAATTATATTTTCAGGGCATGTTCATTGCAGCCGATGGAGTCCGTTGCGAAGAGATCCTGGAAAAGTTAACATTCCTAGACCTCGGGGCTATTCCTGGAAGCTCCATAAGGTGAAATACATCAATATTCCTCCTTATATACATTTTTAAGTGGAATAATTGCAAAAGTTATGGGGCATACAGAAAGAATGGCAGGTAACTGAGAGACAAGCACTGAGTTCACAAGAGTTTAAGAGAGTAGACTATGAAGCAGGCCAAGGAATAGTAGTGACAAATAGCTGATTGTGTGAGATCATAAACAGTGGGTATGTCACACAACAAATTTCAGAGAAAAAAGCATCAGTACTCACCACAGTCGTAATGATGATGCATAAACAGAAAGTAGTACATGCATCAGAAATAAGCCCTTTGTGTGTGACATGATGATGATAAGTTAGTAAAGTATTATTTTTTTTAATTATTCATATTAATTAGATGATAGGCATAGCCTGGACAGATAAATAGAGCAATGAGGATGTCTTAAAAGAAATTGACCCACAAAGAGAACTGTTTGCTCACACCAGAAAGAGACAATCTGTATTCTTTGGTCATGTGATGAGAAGAAGAAAACTAGACTACATCATGACAGTGGGAAAGTTGGAGGAGAGGCAGAGGAAGACTGAGCAAACAGATGCTGGATAGTTTGACACATTGCTTGGAGGATTATCTTTGTCAGAGCTGATTGAAAGTACAGAAGGCTGTGGATATACATGACTACCAATGTCACATGGCAAGGACTTAAAGAAGAAGAAATAGATTGTAGACCATATATAAAATGAATTTCTAATGCATGTTCTTGATTCTGATAAACTCTGGTTTTACTTCTTTCCTGTACACTGAGTAGATGTCAATGCATTCTAATCTTTTGCCATACATCCCTAGTGTGTTTCCAGCTACAATAAGTGTTGCAAGTGTTGTCAAGGACGAGCAAGCTGAAAAACTCAAACTGGAACTGGAGAAGTAATATTTCCTTAGATATTCTGCTTTATACAGTTATTTTCTACATCTAGAGTTTATTTTATATTCTGTCCTTAATTATCTAAATGTTCACTTATAATCAAATTTTCTGTTTCGACACTTATATTAACGTTACAGTAATAGTTATAATTTGTAATGCTGGGTGCCAGGTTCGATCCTGGCTGCGGGCCTTGCATTGGTTTCAATAGTGGTATTGAGAAGCTGACCACCCAGAAAGCAATGGCAAACTACCAGATGTAAATTTGCCTAGAAAAACCACAACAGCAAAAAAAAAAATGTTGGTTGGTTCTACAATGTCCTGTAAAAGATATGCAACTAACTTTTTTCAAAATAATAATAGTTATTTTGATTGGTCTTCTGATTCACACAGACAGACATCTTATTGTGATAACATTGACTGTTTGTTGGAGTTTTAGTGCCACTCATCTCTGAGTGTGATGTTGACTCACTAGGCCAGTATTCCCTTCTTAATAGATTGTACAAGTGACAGACTTGCAGGACACATTCTGCAGTTTGTGTGCATAGTACACAAGGAGACAGTGGTGAACTACTTATTTAATTTTTAAGTTTAGTAGAATGATGACTTTTCCATGCTGATCAGTTAAGCAGAAGTCATCATATAATAATAACTAGCTGTATCCGGCCACGTGTTGCTGTGGACCAGAATGGTGAAATGGAGAGGAAAGAAAATAGCTCTCAGCTAACTGTGTCTGGCATATCCCCGCCCCCCTTCTTCCACCAATCATATCTCCCTCTCTGAAGGATAGAAAAAAAATCATCACCTGGTGAAATAATTAAAATTAGAAATAGTTAGGAAATGAGAACTGTAAAATAATATTTTAAGCTCTCTCAGCTAACTGTGTTTGGCATATACTCCCCCCTTTTACTCCCCCTCTCCACAAATCATATCTCCCTCTCCGAAGAATTGAACAATCATCCATGGCAAAATTATTAAAATAGAAATACTTAAGAAATTAGAACTTTAAAATAATATTTTAAGCTCTCTCAGCTAACTGTTTCTTGCATAACCACTCCCCCAATCATATCATCTAATCCGTAGGATAGGAAAGTAACAGTGTAACGAAATATTGTAACTAAATTGAGCTTTGCATCTGTGTCCACCCAGACTTAAATAGGTAACTTGTACAGAGAAGTAAATGTAGCCAGTATAACAGCTACAACATCACCCATCCAGTACCAGTACTACTGCAACCACAACCACCATCACAACAACAACAAAAACTTTCACTACAGTCTGTGTAGGTCGGTGTAGAAAAGAAGAGTTAGCGCCGCATGCTGTCGCCACGGACTATTTAGTTTGATTTTGCCCCGGACATAGAAAAAAACTTCATCACGTAACCAGTGATAGAACCCACAGTGAAAAGTACACTATACTCACGAATAGCGGAGAAAAATAACCCTCACCAATCATCTCTCCCTCTTTGAGGGATCGATTTTTAACTGACGTTGGCATCTGTGTTCACCCAAAGTAAAGCCGACTTAGTTAACAGTTTCTGTCATCGCCGAATAATTTTTTATCAAGAAGTGTCGCAGGGAGGCTAAAGAGGACTTAACTGAAATCGGATGTCTTTGGGCGAAAGGCTCAGATATCGCAGCCTAGCTGTAAACCACAACACAATGTGGCAACCACCCTTTTAGGGGAAAAAGAACAATTATCACCCAGCAGGGAATCGAACACCGGTCACCCGAGTGAAGGATGACATACTTACAACTATACTACCGACGACTGAAGAGTTTAGGTTAGATATCGCAGCCTAGCTATAAACCACAACACGTGCCAGCCGCCCAGTTAAGGGCTAAAAAATAAAATTATATCACCTAGCGGGGAATCGAAGGCAAGTCACCTGCATGATAAGCAGAATAGCTACCAACTACGCTACCAAACACTCAAGCAAATAGTGGAAATGAAATTATATAATAATGCAAAGTTCAATAAGAGCTCAGCAGTCAAATATGACCGATCAAATAAAAACAAATCCGGGCCGGCAATGAAACAAATAATGATTTGACCGTTGCTGGAGCTACGTCATTCGTGGTTTGTACGATTTTCTGACAAAAAAATCACGCTTGGAGTCAAAGGCAACGTTGTGTGCAAATTTGATAGCAATCTGTTCAGTAGTTTCCGAGTTTTTATCTAACGACATAGGAAAATTAACATTTTTTTAAATATAGATAAAACAGGGGTTACTGATGACTACAGCTATGAGTTTAGTAATTCAGTGGCCAGATATGTGTTGCATGGTTATCCACCATAGTAGAGCTACCATAGTGTAGAAACAAGACGCTCACCTGTGAATCTGAAGTTCATAGGTTCAGATCCTTACAGAGCCAAACTTTTTTCTTTCTAAAATGACTTTGACTGCCAGATTGACTGAGATAAAGTTCTGGGAAGTCAAGGCGGCTGGCAGGATGTCGACCACATCACCCGCCGAATGCCAGTTAGTCTATATAAAATGTAGGTTAAGCCCACTGCACTGAAAGCATGGAAGGGGTCCATTTTTCATTCACCATATGCCAAGCAGAGGAGAAATTTATTTGACCTTTACCAGCATCCTGTAGGACAAACTATGTAAATGTCAGCAGGTTCATGTGGGCTCCTGCTGTCTTTAAATAAGTTCAAATATTCGTAGTAATTTACTTTTTTAATTTTCCCGATCAACCTTTTTAAGTTAAAATAAATTTTTTAAATGTCAGGTAGTTAATTCAATTTGTAGATCATTCTTAGTTATCTAATATGGCATAGATTATGTAGTTATGTTTGTCGATCATTCTTGGTTATCTAATAGGACATAGATTATGCAATGTTTTTTAATCATTCTTGGTTATCTAACATGGCATAGATAATGTAGTTATGTTTATCGATCATTCTTGGTTATCCAATAAGGCATAGTTTATATAGTTATGTTTGTAGATCATTCTTCGTTATCTAATATGGCATAGAATATGTAGTTATGTTTGTCGATCATTCTTGGTTATCTAATATGGCATAGATTATGTAGTTATGTTTGTCGATCATTCTTGGTTATCTAATATGGCATAGAATATGTAGTTATGTTTGTAGATCATTCTTCGTTATCTAATATGGCATAGAATATGTAGTTATGTTTGTCGATCATTCTTGGTTATCTAATATGGCATAGATTATGTAGTTATGTTTGTCAATTATTCTTGGTTATCTAATATGGCATAGAATATGTAGTTATGTTTGTCGATTATTCTTGGTTATCTAATATGACATAGATTATGTAGTTATGTTTGTCGATCATTCTTGGTTATCTAATATGACATAGATTATGTAGTTATGTTTGTCGATCATTCTTGGTTATCTAATATGACATAGATTATGTAGTTATGTTTGTCGATCATTCTTGGTTATCTAATATGACATAGATTATGTAGTTATGTTTGTCGATCATTCTTGGTTATCTAATATGACATAGATTATGTAGTTATGTTTGTCGATCATTCTTGGTTATCTAATATGACATAGATTATGTAGTTATGTTTGTCGATCATTCTTGGTTATCTAATATGGCATAGATTATGTAGTTATGTTTGTCAATTATTCTTGGTTATCTAACATGGCATAGATTATGTAATGTTTTTTAATCATTCTTGGTTATCTAACATGGCACAGAATATGGGGGCTGCATGATCTTGAGGTATTGTGTCCGTCTTGAGTGCTGGAACTCCTTTGGTTCAAGCCCCCATAAAATGCTGCGATTTTTTCATGTGAACTTCAAGTAGTTTCCCCTGGTCTCTGGATAGTAAGATCGTTAAAATCTACTCACATTTCAGGATCTTCGCCAGTGCTACAGAGTTCATGTACCGCGCTGAGATTCCTCAGACTCAGGCCTGAGTTAGAGGAAGAGGAGAGCACTTATGGGTTACACCTGTGTGCCATGATGTTGATCCTTAGAATAAACCATCATAGATTTGTTTGTTTCTTGTAACATATTGTAACATTTCATATTTTTCAAGTACAAATATATTAAGGTTTATGTCTAAAGTTTGAAGTCCTTATTTTTTTTGTAATCTAATTTTTCTCTGAGATATTTAATACTTAAGACAAAAAGACGTTTAATATTGTTTGTATGCTAGAACTGGTATCGGACCCTATGTGTGAAATAGCTCCACTTAGAATGTACATTAACTCTTTCTATACCAAGCAACGCACCATGCATTTGCTGGTAACTCTTTTAAAAAAAAAGATCCCTTCTTTATTCTGTGTCTCATTTTGATGTTAAATTAACCTATCCAAGCAGTATTGTTATGTTCACTATTTCTGTTTTAAATTAATATGTGATCTGCTTCAGATGCAATATTAATTTAATATAACTTTTGCCTTCCGACAGAATAATTTTCAGTAGCTACTTCTGCATTGGACCATTTAAGTTAAACTGAATAAACTGAAGGTTGTAGGAATGCATTTTTTTTTAAAGAATAATTCTGAGAATATCTTGAACAGGGGAGAAATCAAATACAGAGGTTTTGGGATCTTCAGTCGTTACAATACCACTCATCAAATCAGAAAAAAAGACTATGCAGCATACCAGTATAAGAAGTTGAATAGCAGAATTTGCTTGACTAAAAACTATTATGCAATAAGAAAGACTGTACTTCAAGGAACATTGGGGGGTAGTTGAAGAAAAGGGCAAAGAAGAAACTTGAATGTTATATTATGTATAGAAAAAAGTCTTGATCTGATATGACTGAGCTATCATATAACAGTTGTTTGTTACTATCTGTTCTCTATTTATGCCAAATGTTTGGCAGCATATACAAAACCTGGCACACCACATGTGCCAATGGCTTTGGGCGGTGGGGCACATTGTGGGGAATACTAGCCTTATCTTAGGATGAGGAAATGTAGTATAGAAATGTAATGTTATGGCTGACAAGGCCTTTAGCCTTGGTCAGCAGTTACATACACAGCCACTTATATATTGTATACAAATATGGTATGTTTGATAACATACAGACCTATCCGTCTCAAATCACAGAAACTGATAACATATGATAACTGTTTATTTTTTGTAGATTGCAAAACTCATAATTTATTATGAAAACAAATTCAGCATTAATCTGTCAGTTCTGTATGTTTTTCTTTTATAGGGAAAACAAGCTTGCAGAAAAAGTCAGTGAGTTTAAGAAGTCTATAAAGTCCAGGCTTGTTGTTGCTCAGGTAAAGTGTTTTCTAACTTAATTTTTTAATCCCATTGCTGAACTTGAGGTCTTGAAGTGATCTGCTTTCACATATTCTACACCAGTGTTTCTCAAACTTTTTTCGTCACACCCCATTTGTCGGGCAGAACTTTTTTGCAGCGCATCTGCCCTTAAAGCGGTTTGAATACTTTAAAGAAAAAAAACCAGTGCAAATTTAATGTTCATTTGTCTTTAATGTGACACATGAAAAACTGCTGTTTAGCTGCATTTTTTAATTATTTCCTTTATGTTTTTGTGAAGTTTAATTAAATGTATTCTCAGATCACTTGAAGGTTGCTCCTATATATGTGTATTTTTATGTAAGCGTACGTTGAGAATGCACTTCAGGGTTGCCAATAGCATTGTTTCTGAATACACATGTGGCAGAACTCTTTTTGGCTTCCTTCATGGCATTTCTTATTTAACTGCTGTCTTCGTTGATATCAAGCAGATTTAGAAAATTTCTTATTTATTGCTGCAGCACCCCTGGCAAATGCTCGCTGCACACCTGGGTGCCACGGCACTCAGTTTGAGAACTCCTGTTCTACGCTGGTATTAAAAAATCTGTAGCAAGAGAGTTTGTTTATATTTGGGCACCTAATATAAATCAAAGCAATGTTTCCCTGGTAGTAGTGAGGAAAGCAGAATGCTAAAATTTCTTGGGAGCCATCGTGATTTGTTACCCCCTGTCTTGAACTCTGTAAATAGAGACATGATTCTGACATTGCGGGTGCCCTGGTAAAACAGGCAATTGCGTTTGATTGTTGTTAAATTTTTGCTTCAGTTAAAAAGGATTCACTTGTTTGCTTTCATTTATGTAATTGTTACTGTAGTATGCAACTGATTATATGTTAGCTGTTTCTTTGGTGGAAAGTGTTAGTAAAGTTAAAAAATCATAACTTAAGAATTTAAAAAATGTCCACTATATAGGACATATCTACATATGCGCTTATTAATTTTTTTTCAGGTTGTTGATTCTGTTAAAAGCGATGCTGTTTTCAACTTTGACTTCCTAATGTTGGTGATTCTTGCTGGGTAATTTGAGTATACAATTTTATTTTAAAATCTAGAAGAAAAATTTTCTTTGTTACTTAACAGACTCTATTCCTAACAAAGTATGGGAGTGTGAAATTGGAGGTGATAACTCAACTACTAGAGCATTTAAACATGGAAAACCTCTGAGAATAATTAAGACTGAATTTGGACCAAAACCAGCTTAAAAATCCGACAGCTACTGGTGCCATCAGAATTGAAAGTCTTCACTTGCTGCTGAAGATGGAGACAGAGCACTTATGGGAGTGTCGCAAATGCTGTAATGTCGATTTTAATTCAACATTCAGCTTAAAAATCAATAATCTTCTTCTTCCTTTTTGGTTTTTCCTCTCTGGCCATACTCTGCCATTGAGAGTCAGGTTTTGAAGAGGCATTAAGTGTGCACCTCAGTATGTTCTACACTGATGCAGCTGGATATAAAAGCGAGTCTCCTGTCGACTGCGCTAATGCAGACCCGGATCATTTAGGAGTATTTCAGTGCATAAAAAGTCTTGTCAGAGAAGATTATGTGCCCCTGTAATATTATTTAATTTTATGTCAAAACATCACAGTTTCCTGGTGATTGTATGATAAGCAAATTAGCTTAAGCTAAAAACATGACACATGATAATGATTTTATGCCGGGAGTTGTTGGTCACATTATAAATAAGTTAGACTGCTAATGGAGTGCCTTGATAGCGACAGATTGAAAGGAACAGCAGAACGTTGCATATACAGTGGTTGTAGAGGAAGGGGGGGGGGGGGGTTGGGTGAAGGCCTCAGCATGAAAAAAAGGAAGACAGTAGTGAAGGGACCTTGTTCCATGTCAACCCAGCCCTAAAGGGGCACCAGGTAAAGTCCTGAGAAATAATGGTGGCCAGGGTATAGTTGACCATATCGCCTACTGAATGCTGTGATTTTAAAGAAATCTGTGTCATATTTTGTTAAACCAGTCGGCATTTGGAAGTTGATATGGTCAACATAGCTGCTGCTACCTATACTTCCCAACAGATAACAGTGAGCCTTTTTTAGGCTAGGTTGACCTGAAAATTTAGATCAATTCTAAAAAAAAGTCACCTTTGTGTAAATTTGAACCCGAGACCTTCGAAACATTCCACGCAAATACTGATATTTAAATATCTACGCAAATTGATACCGTCAGGTGAAAAATGTATTTATTTATTTACATTATAACATTTTTGTTTTAGAAATCAATAAACAAAACCTGCTATGACCCGGTGATCATATCACTTATGCTTACGGAAACATTATAAATCACCCTTTAAAAAAGCTATTGGATCTACAAGGAAACCTCTCTAAATGTTGTATATTATTTAATATATTTATGTCAAGGCCTCCTAAATCCAACGCATATGTACATAAAACCAATGGCATAATTTTTAAGTTTTTTATCAACAACCAGAAGTGACTAGAATTAGCCTTCTCTGGGCGACACAGTAAAAGTGATTACCAGTAAATTCTGCAAACAGAAGTGATTATGAAGTGGCAGTCACCCAACTTGTAATGAGATAGCTCAGTATAAGATTTATGACAACAATATATTTTAATCACCCAGTAGCAGTATTTGTTGTTGGATTATTCTGACTGTTTGATGTAGATCACATGCTGTATCTCTTGACGAATTATTCTAGGATGGTTGCAATTATGGGGCTGTTAGAAGCAAGTCCAGTATCACTTGTTGCAAGTATGCTCATCTCACCGCTGATGGTAAGTTAAGTCTAGAAGAATCTGCGTGACATATGTTGACATTTTTACCCCACCTGAAAATGAATGAATGAGTTGCCGTGGCGTAGCAGCTAGACACTCGCGTGCAGATCGGAAGGTTGTCAGTTTGCTACCTGACCTTGACTCCCAGGTCGACCCAGCCTAGAGTGGGTATCGGGTGCAGTCTTGGGAAGTAAAGGTGGCTGGCGTGATGCTGACCACATCACCTATCTTGTGCCGATTGGTCTATAAAAATATAGGTCCAGCCCTATATGCCCTGTATGCCTAAAGGCGTGGAAAAGGGACCTTTGCTGTACTGAATGAATGAATCAAGAACTGAGACGAATTCACACAGGACATTCAAACATGTGCTCTGTCTCGTTCTTCAGTAGCCAGTAACGAGTGGACATGCGACAAGTACCAGTTGCAATCTGATTAAAAGTCTACCTGTGTCTCCCTCAGTGATGAATATCTTCTACAATCTCGACCCTTCCCCCCCCCCCCTTTCCCTATTCAGATTAGTCTTTCAGTGTGTGGATTATCTGTTCTGTTGCACTGTCCATTTGATCCCCATCTTAGAGATAACAAAGTCCAAAGAATCAACCACGAACAGAACATATGATACGAAAATGTGATAACAGTATAACTAGAATGTTTCTTCATCGGAACCCTTAAGGCACAAGCAATGAAAACAGACTTAAAATGTGTCTTGTTAACCCAGAGCGTATTACTTGAAAGTAATAACTGCTCTGGGCTGAAAGAGTTAAAGATATCAAATTAGAACTATGAACTGACCTTCACTGTGGGTTTTGCTTCCTATTTGTTTTGGCGAACAGAATTAAGAGACACACTGCTCCTTAACAAGCACGGATTATGGACTTGCTGTAGGGCTGGAATGTGCCTGTCTAAATCACAACACAATGTACCAGCCATCCATTTAAGATTGAACACAGCCTATATAAACAGCATATTCATTCCAACACATTGCTACCAGTGTCAGACTTGGATATTCCCAAAGGCTAACTTGTGTAAAATAACACCTCTAAAATGAGAGGTCAGAGAAAAGCCACTGGCTGAACCATCTGTGACAAAGTTAGAAATGATATCAAGATTTTTGATAAATGGGTGATCAAACAGTTTGATCATCTAGTGAGAATGCAACCAGAACAATTGCAAATGCAGGTATTACACATAAAAAGAGCTAATGTGAAGAAGAATATGGATGGATGACAAAGAGCATCTATATTGATACTGAGTGACAATAGCCATTGCTGCCATCAAGCAGTGGATCACAAACTGTTCCTCCCCATGACACTTTATGACAGAAGTGAAAAGATGATGACAGAAGAATAATAAGATATGACCAGACTCTGAGAACAGCACATCAAGAGTTGAAACCAGGTAAGTGCAAGGTTAGAGAAAAATAGTCAACTAACATTTAACCAGTGTTTTTAGTCACTACATGCCGAAGGAGGGAGAGATTGTTGCCATTACAGACTAAACGTTATTTTCTTTTACTGCATTTGCTCTTAAAAAGGAGTTTGACACATTGCAGTTTGATTTACAAGCCTGTGATATCCGATCCCTTCAGTCCAACACACCCAATGTCAGCAAACTTGTATTAGTCACCTTCGATCACATGCTTAATAGGAAACAGTGGGATTATTATGTCTCCCCATCCTCATCCTCAAATGGGACTCTGGAGCCAGCCACAGGTTAACTGTTTTGATGTGCCATGAGTATAATCTGTTGACTAACATTCAAGGCATGAGACTGTGTTTTATGGACTGTATTATTGTGTGGAGAAATGTAAAAGAGAAAAAATAATTTGCTTTTTCAAACAGGGACCAATTGTTGCCTTTGTCTTTGGCACTGTTATTAAAAATATGGAGCTTTTGAAAGTTGGTGTTGTTACCGAGATGAAAGGCTTGACTTTGTGCATTCTTGTGGGTAAGTTGAATTTGATGAGTAGTTTAATGAGTAATTGAATCTTATGGGTAATTTAACTGATAAAGTAATTTTACAGGCTAGGCCTGAAGCCGGTCATACAGTTTGTTAAAAAGTAACAAATGAGATGGTTTAGCCACCTGAAGAAACATTATGCACACAGAGCAAGGGAAAGATCATGCAGAACATGGAATAATGGCATCAAAAGCAGCCTTAAGGAAATAAGGACCAATCTTAACACACTTTAAAAGCACACAGCAGATCTTTACATGTCCTCACCAACACTTTGATGAAGTGAATGAAGGAAGAGAAGAACCAAAAAGTAATCTTGGAGTCAGTGAATGAATAAGATTATCTTACAGTATTAGCCTCATAATGGATTGCAGAATACAAAGTAATTAAGTAAAGCACCATTTTCATGCAGGATTTGGGTAGAGGGGGTGAGATAAGGGCATATGATGCTAGACTCAGTCGGCACTCAGTGGGTGATGTAGTCAACACCTGTCTGTTCCTTTCTATAGATTTCTAGAGACCCAGTTTAGGCTGGGTTGATCTGGAAGCCAAGGCCAGTTTTAAATAAAATCTGACTAGTGCAGATTTGAACTCAATACCTTTAGACCAGCAGGCAAGCAACTAGCCAGGGTGCTACTACAGCTCCATAGTAGATTGTAAATAACAATGGGATGATAATCTGAGGGTGTATATATTAATCAAAAGTTAATCAGGTAATTTCAATTCCACCTTTATATCATGGTGTTGTGGGGGGGGGGGGGGGGGGCTGCGTGGTCTTGAGGCATGGTGTCCACCGCGAGTGCTAGAAGCCCTGGGGAAGGCTTGGGTTTTTTCACGTGGATTTCTAGTAATTTCCCCCTGGTCTTTGGGTAGTAAGACTAGACGCCCGTGTGTATTATTGCACATGTAGAAAATCACTAAACAGTTGGAAATCTAAAAAAGTAGCCTAACTGCCTTGCCTGGACAAAATTTGGAGTTAAAAATCTACCCCAAGTATTTCAGTATGCTCGCAGGTGCAACAGAGTTCGTGCACTGTGCTGAGCCTCTTCAGACTCAGGCTTGAGTTAAAAGAAGAACAAGTACTTATTTCAATGTTGCATTGTACACTACATCATGGGAAATTCAAGGTTGGCCATGTGATTACCACAGAAACTTTAAATTTACCACATGCTCTGTTTTGTTTGTACTGCATGAGATTCTTCATTGTAATTGTCACAGCTTCGGCAAGTTTCAGTAAACGCATATTTAATGTGTGGAAAATATGCCAGGCAATAAATTGTGTAGTGTAGTTTTCCCATCATCATCATCATCATCATCATGCAGGTCTTTTGCAGAATGTCATTCTCTTGACGGTCTGCCTGAAAAAAACTTGGTCTCTCGCCAGTTCTCCCGCCTCATGCATTTTTTAAACTCAAGGAGTCACTTATATCCTGTGCCTATCTTCGTGTCGGTCGGTCTCTGCCCCTCCTTCCTGGTACTATGCCTTCTGCTATAATTTTTTCCCATTCCGTCGTGGAGCTTGAAATGACCAAAATATTTTAGCTTCCGAGACAGGATGCTGTTTATAAGCCAATCCTCCTTGATGTTAAAATCTTACAAGTTGTCAGTATTTCTCCATTTTTCATCCAAGATATTCTAAGAATCTTTCTATAGCATTTCGGCTCAAAAGCCCCGATTCTCTTTCTTAAGGACCGGGAGATGACGACTCGCATCTGTATGTTGCTACAGAAAAGATGCATGCTCTCAAAATTCTAATTTTGATCTCCTTGCTGGTGCTTAACCATAGATTTTTAGGCTGTTTAATCTTTGTTCCCCCCTCCCCCATAAAAATATTGTTTCTGTTCTTATTATTTAAAACATATGTTTCTTTCTGTGCTTAGGTTTTATATCAGGGTTTATTCCAGCTGGGTTAGAAAGTGCTGGTATGTCATGGAGATCTACAGACAGCTGGCCAACCATAGAAATGTCTTCCAGGTGACAATTTAATAAACATTCTTTAAACAGATTGAAAGATCTTAGAATTTGACTTTCTCAGTACCAATAAGCTATTATTTTACTTTTCTATACCATAAGGGGTTTAACTAAGAAATATTTGGGTCAGAATTAGTGAGATTTAATCATTCATGAGAAAGAAGATATGTTATGTTTTCACAGTTAAATATATTCTTAAGATTAACTTCCTCTAAATATGATTTGGATTAACAATTGTATGTGTGTCTTACTTTGTTTTATTGTGTACAGAAAGTGTTATCCTTCTCGGCAAGCGTTTCTTGTTTGTTGATTATTCAATGAGTAAGAACATTCTAAAATAAAATACTTGACATTAAGTTTCAAGGCAAGATGGCAAACACTGAGGTATTGGAAAGGGCAGGTAATAAAAGTTTTCTCAGTGCTGTCTATGAGGGCTGAGGTAGCCGGGTCACACATGGAGGATGGCAGAGTCCCTAAGGACATCCTCTTTGGTGAATTACAGATGGCTAGAAAATATCTTGGCCGACCTCTACTACCAAATAAAGGTGTGTGCAAGCAGGACATTAACTGTACAGATATTGACGTGTATTTATGGGAACAAAATACTATGGACCTTGTTGCATGGAGGGGGCACAACAGGAAGCGAATGAGAATGAAGGAAGAAATTGTTGCAGAAAGGACAGCTGGGCATCTGAACACTAAATACAAATGATGGCAACAATGGTTCTGAATCCCATGTTATAATTGTGGAAGACTTTTCTTAACGCAGATGGGTTTTGCTAGTCACACTCGGCATCACCATGGGCTGTTATCCCTACACCTCCTCATAGCACAATATAACTCTTATCATCTGAAAAAATAAAAAGATGCCAACAACAACAACATTTCTAGCTATACTTTTCATGCCATGCTGTGTATAAGGTATATGGTATTGGGCCTATATTTGTAAGGGAAATAGCACTGAATGGATGACCTTGTCTAAATTTGTCACCTTTATTATCCTGGAAATTTGCTGGTTTCCATTTTATACCCATTTGTATTGTTTGGTCATTAAGTACATGATATGCTTCACTGAACTTTTTCCACCCCTTCCTCTTCTTTTGTTATACAGTTGCCAGTTTGTATCTCACTGATTCTTAATTTTACCCACTGTAATATAACTGTTATACAGGCATGACTTTTCTTTGCAAAATACTCACAGTAGGTTGCAATTTCTTTCTGTGAGAGCAAAGCTTAAGCAAAATGAAGAATATTTTATTTTATGTAATCTTTCTTTTGAGACGAGAAAGATAATTCTTAAAAGCTATATAAATCTTATATTGATATACGGATGTGAAGCATGGACAGTTAATAAATTAGTGAAAACTTATTTAGAAGTGCGGAGATGTGGTTTTATAGACGAATGATGAGAATATCCTGGACAGATAAAAAGAGTAATAAAGACGTCTTGAAAGAAACTGACTCATGAAGAGAACTGATTGCACACATCAGAAAGGGGAATCTACATTCTTTGGTCATGTGATAGGGAAAAAAAACTGCAGTACATCATTACGGTAGGAAAGTTGGAGGGTAGGAGAGGTAGAAGGAGCATGAGATTACAGATGCTGGACGGTTTGATATCATGGCATGGAAGATCATCTGTGTCAGAATTGATTGAAAGTACACGAGACAGAAGGTTGTGGTTAGACATGACTACCAACGCCACATGGCATGGACTTGAAGAAAAAGACTATAATTTTTTTCTTCAACTCTTCAGACTGGTAGGGCTACTATATTAGGTCACAAACTCAGCATTTGTGAATGAATCAGGAATTAACGTCTTGCACTTGGGACATTCCCAAATGTGCTTTGTTCCTTGTTCCATTCCTCAGTAGCCAATGATAGTAGTTACAATACTAATGGTGCCATCTGCAATCTGAATATATTTGAATATATGGTTATATTATACAAAGTAACAAATCTTAGGGTAGAATTAATCAAAATAACAACTGTGATTTAATTCACAGAGAAATTTTAATGTTTTTTTTTAAAAACTATTACCAGAGGATCCATCCGAGCTTTACCAGTGGGAGTCTTAATTGCTGTTCCATCTGGAGCTGGGGTTGCTCTGTCCATTCTGGGTGGCAAAGTGGGATCATTGGTTGGTGTGGCCATCTCTGCTTCCTTGCTGCCTCCTGCTGTCAATGCTGTAAGTAAATACATTGGTATTTTTATCTTTCATTTATTTTGCTGGGAAGTGAATAAAAAATAAACATATCAAAAGTAGGAATTGTAAACTTTATGGAAATATTACATACATTGAAAACAAAAATTATAAGTTTAAAATATTACTGTTAACTTGAATTGTGAATAAGTGGGCAACACATATATTTTAAATCATGTTTTGTCAGGGGGGAAATAACAGGTGTCTTCTTCTTAGTTTTTATTTATTGAAAAGAAAATTTTGTTTTCTTATTTGTTTTGTAAAATCTAATAACATCAAAACTTTGAAGTGCGAAATGAAATAAATGACAAGTTAATTTAATTTTTATCTCTCTTTATTAATGTTAGTTTTTGGATAGATTATGTCCCTATTTTTGCACATAATGGGTTGCCATTTATGTTTCAGGGTTTACTATGGGCAAATGCTATTATAGTTGGAATTACACCTCCTCGTACTGTTGGTCCAAATATGGTAAGTTGCATTTTGCTTGTTTCAGATTCCAGTAATTTGGTTAACAAATATTTTACTATATTGGGCAGTACAGTGCATGAGGGTCTTGAGCCAATAGATATACTGTAATATGGCTAGTGCAGTCTGCATTAAACTTTGCAGGTAAGGACACGTACTGGGGATTCAAACCTGAGTCTCTTAAATAAAAATTCAGCATTGTAACCACGGTGGGAGGAGGGGGGGGGGGGCGAATTCCTTCAAAGTTGGAGTGCATCTGCCTGAGAGGCAAGGAACCAAAGGTTGGCATACACATCAGTTAGATCTGTAAAACTGATGTGCATGCAATACTTAGGTCCTGGAACCATACTTAAGTCCAGAGGTGGAAGAAGAACCAGAACTTTCCACCATCCGCTGGAGTTTACCGCTGGTGAACACGAAAAAGAAGATTTTTGTGTGTCCCTTTTCACTTTTTAATTTCCCCCTCCATGCAGTGTGATGTATGGCATGCTGTTTCCATGCATCCATTTCAACACCTGTATCATTCTTGTCCCACTTACACATATATCATCAGACTAGTAGAGGCTGATCCTTTACATCTTTATACCCATCTGTAATTCACCATAGAGGATGTCATTAAGAACTGTGCAAACCTCTTGTTGTCCTAACCATCAAGCCTTTGAAGACTAAGCGTTTAGAAAAGTAGTATCTTCACTTCACCAAAATTAAGGGCTTGTAATCTTGTATTGCCACCAATTGACAAGTATTGTTGTATTCATCATCATTATCATCCTCTTGTGCCATTGTGTGTCAAATAAAGCTAGCAGTCTTGTAATAAGTCATTTCCTCCTTGTTAATTAATGTTCACATTTAGAAATGAGGTTAAATACTAAACATAAATTATTTGGTTGAATGGTATCGAGTACAAAGTATAATGAATAACTCAAAGCAAGCGTGCAAACTGGTTGAGATGTGCGAGAGCAGAGAAAGCATGAATTACATGTAAAAATGTTCAAGAACTTGAGAGTAACACATTATTTAAACTCGGAACGGTCGAGAAGATTCAATCTTGTTTTAAATCCTGGAACAGTGTTTCTGACGACGCTAGAAGAATGAAAGTCAAATGAATCTAATTGCAAAGGAGTTCCTGCACAATAATTTATTGGGAAAACCTGGCCATCTTGTTTAGCCTGACATCTTGTCAAGGCTGATGTTGTTTTGCTGTCGATGTGAGCAGTTGTAAACCTGAAGTGCTTACTGTTTGGAAGTGTTGTGGTTATCATTGAAAAGAACTATAAGGTTTGGTTGCATCGTTCATGCTGTTATAAGTGGCAGAATTTGCTCACCCTAGACATTTCTTTCTGCCTCTGAGTACACTGGCAGAGAAACAGTTGTTGCAATCAATAGACATTTGATAACGATCAGCTGTGTGGCGTTTCCAGCGTTCATTGTTCCATGCTCAAAATGGTGAGTAATCTGCCTTAGAAGTCTGCAAGTGATGAGAGCCTGAAAGGTCATTGCAAGTGTATTTCTCTATTCTGTGTTGTCCTGTGCAATACTTTTGATTTTATGGGTGAAATCCAGTCCAGCACTTTTTGACTTCTTTCATCAGTGTTCATTTTTGGAGTCTCTCTTGGACATTTTGTTTCCTCTGTCTGTGCATTTCCCAAATCAGAACTTTTTTTGGGGGGAAGGGGGGGGGGGGGGGATTCTCAGCTTCATTATTTAAATTCACTATGTGAAAACATTGTTTTGAATTTCCTATGATAATCAAGAATGGATAAGCAAATCAAGGTAGATAATAATATTGCATCTACTATTTTTCATGATATATCCTACAGGACCCGCTGCAGAACTCTTCAGCTACAGCAGATGTACCATACGAGGCCAGCATATCATGCCCAACCTATTTTAACAATGACTACACCCACATCTACTCCTGCAACATGGCAGTTGAGAGTCTGGTGCTTGGTGTCATAAGTCTTCTGTTGACAATTGTCAACATCATCTGCATATTCTTCATGGGCATTCTTGTGCTCAAGGTAATGTCTGAATAGAAATGTTTGCCAGAGTTTCCTGTTTTTTTTTTAAGTTAACATTGTTGACCTCTGTTTCATTTAAATTACAAATATATTCCCCATGTTTTCCTCAAAACTAAAGAATATGTCCTAAAGTTTCCTAAAATTAAAACTATGTCCTCTAAGGCTTTCATTTAAATTACACATATGTTTCCCATGTTTTCCTCAAAACTAAAAAATATGTCCTAAAGTTTCCTCAGAACTAAAAAAAAAATGTCCTTCAAAGTTTCTTCAAAATTAAAACTAATATGTCCTCTAAGGTTTCCTCAAAGTTAAATATGTTTCTTTGGTTTTGACAAATTTAAAAAAAACTAAAGTCTCCTTAAAACTAATATGTCCTCTGTTTCCTCAGAATTAAAAATATGCTCTAAGGTTTCCTTAAAACTTATATTTCCTTTAAGGTTTCCTCAAACTTAAAAATATCTCTAAAGTTTTGTCACTAAACTTTCCTTAAAACAAAAAAATTTGTTGTTGACTAAGGTTTCCCTAAAAATATGTTGACTAAATTTTTTTAACAACTCAAAATATGTTGATAAGGGATTCCTCAAAAACAAAAACTTATCAACCAAGATTTCTACAAAACTAACAAATATGTCACCTAAAGTTTTACCTAAACTAATATTTTTTAGAGTAAGGTTTTTATTTCTATAAAACTATCAAATATGTAACTTACAGTTGTATCTAAACTACAGGTATATAGATGAAGGTTTGTTTTAAGTCAAGAACCATTATAATAAATGTTTACAAGAATAATTTGATGAAAACAAACATTAACATTATAACTGGGTAAATTATAATAGTTTAGCTTGCACCCTTTTTGTTATTTTGTTTGTGTTAAAATTGATTTAAATCTGGTAGACATGAATCTAAAAATGTCTGATACCTATGCTGTCCTAGATCAAAGAGGTGGCTCCCATTCGGTCAGTTCCAGAAGCTGAAAAAAACTTCTTTGCCAGGGATCTTAAGGTAAGTAACTATTTAATTAGGTACAGTAGTGTTTTATTTTATTTTATTAGTGTTTGCATGATTTCTATTTCAAGTAAATTAAAATTTATTAGGGCGCTGCCTCTTTTCTTTAAAAAAAAAAGACCTAGGGTACCAGGTAAAGTCCTGGGTAGTAACGGTGGCCAACATAATGTTGACCTTATCATCCACAAGTACCATTTTTTCTAAAAATATAGGTCTAGTACTATATACAGTATAGCCTAAAGATATACAAAAGAGTACTTTACTAGAATATATAAATATGTTTTTATTTCTTTCCTTCCACCCGTTTACATGTTGATTGATTTATTATACATTTATTATAGGTATTGTATTAATTACTTTCAGTTGGCACTTTTTTTTTTTTACAATGGGGGGAGGAGGGGGGTGTTTATGCTTAAAAAAAAAAGCAAACAATAATAATCTTTTTCTTTGCGCTCACCGGCTGAGAACTCTGGCACACGTTTCTGGCTGTTCATTCACTTCTAGACTATAGCTCTGTTCAAGAAACTGAGCGTTGCATGCACATCCATTTTACAAATCTGACTTATCTGCATGCAGACTGTTGGTTTCTTGTCTGTCTTTCAGACAGATGTACTCTGACTTCGAAGGAAGCTCTAAATTTTTTTAATCTTACGACAGGCTTTTGGATAGACAGTAAGTCTACTCTTGTTTTCCCCACAGTGGGGCCCTTGGAACACACACAGGGAAATAATTATCTAATAAGCATGTTGTATGAAATGACTTAAAAGATTAGGATGAGAATGACTACCTTGTCCCATAGAAAACTTTAACTGGAAACGCAGTCGGTCACGAACAAGCTTACAAAGGATTTGATGTGAAGTGTCCAAGGACCAGTGTTTCACTGGGAGATGAAAGCCGAAGAAGTTACAGGCTGAAGTTTTATTAATATGGAGAGACCTGAGGTAGAAAAAAGAAACAGGAATTTTAGAGGTAGAAGAAGAAACATGAATTATAGAGGTAGAAGAAGAAATGGGGTTTTTAGATAGATGTCAACTTCTCCAACAACAGCTTGGAGATGCTTTCACTGATATCCAGGAAAACTCTACAGCAAGCTTAAAATGGATGCAGTTAAGGAGACTGTCTACAAAACAGCTGCAACAGTCTGTTGGATTAGAGAACATAGAAGTAAGGACTGGTTGGAAGCAAATAGACAGACACTCCAACCCTTAATTGACAGCAAAAAAGCTCTTTGAAACAATGAAAGAACAAGGAATTTCCTCAGTGAATTGACAGAAGCTAGAAATAAATGTCAAAAGGTAGCTGGACAGTATAACGACTACTGGATTCAATTATGTGAAAGCATTCAAAATGCTAGCAGTAGTGGTAGGGTAATGTTAAAGGCATGTAAAAAAGTGCACCTCTAGAGAGTTTGAATGGCAAGATTATTAGTGACAAGAAGAAGCAGCTAGATAGATGGTTGGAATATTATCTGGAGCTGTATTCAGTTGAGACTACAACAACAGACGGTGCTCTTAACCCTTTTAGCACGGGAAGTTTTTCAGAGGTCTAGCCAAAAACACGGAGCATTTTTTCAGTGAATTTGGTTATTATTTTATTTAATTTTTTTGACAGATTTCTGTTATTCTGACCCCTATGAAATAATATATCTATTTGAAGGATATAGATTGAAGTTCGTGATTTTCACAATATCGTTAAAATCAATTGATTTATATGCAAATTATCTCATTTGCATATCTAAAAATAGAAAATATGAATTTGAATTTTTAACTTCAATGCTTGAAACATAAAACTAAAAACAAAAATTTTTTTTATTTGAAATCTTTTTATTGATCTTTGGCCTTTTTTACAAATGTTTTAAGCAATTCAATAGTCAAAAACAGGTATATATATGTGAAACAGCAATAATATCTTTAGGTGACATGTGTTTTTCACCAACAGTCAGCACAATAAATGGATGTGCCGGAGTGTCAACACCTTCGGGTGGATATACCCTGAGCCATGGTTGGGCTGTGGTCTGAACACAACAGCGTCCCCATCTGATTCCCACTATAACTACAAACACTAAATCCTGCATCAGTATCAACAGAATTAGTGTCAACACTTGATTCAAATGTTTTATCAACATCAAGTTTAGGGGCAGAAACATACGAGTCAGACATACTTTTAGCGGTTCAGGTCACTATCTAAAAAATTCAACAACAATTTTCACTTCGATACCAAACACTCGAAAGTCGCCATGTGTAAAGCTGATACCGCAGTTAATATAAATGAATCACTTTCAGTGTTTCAAAGTAGGAGATTTCTTAGCGGTTCGAGGCGAAACACGATCGGGCCGATCATCGGCCGTTCCGTGTTTTTGGCAAGACATCTGCCGGCCGATAATCGGCCCGTCCGTGCTAAGAGGGTTAATGTAGAAGTATGGAATGATATTGATGAACTGGCTTCGGGGAAGACCCAGGTAGAGATGGAATTGCTACTGAGATCATCAGGAGTGGGAAAGACATTCTAACCCCACACATTCATCAGCTAATAACTCTGCTGATTTGATGGACAGGTTCCGCAAGATTTCAAAGACTCGAGCCTCATAACTATGTACAAGAACAAGGGTGATCTGAGTAACTGCAATAACTCCAGAGGAATATTACTGCTGTGTTTGTTGAAAAAATTCTTGCGAGAATTGTACTGTGAAGACTCCAGATCCTAAGAGAAAAGCTTTACCTGGAGTCACAGTGTGGCTTTCCTAGGAACCATATGCCCAGGTGGCTGGGTCACACCAGAGGAATGGATGGGTAGAAGATGACAAGGCCAACCTCTCCTACGATATAAAGATATGTGCAAACAGAACATGAATGATACAGGTATTGAGGTGGACTCGTGGGAACAAAATGCCTAGAGGGGGACATCAGGAAGGGAATAAGAATAAAAGAAGAAGTCACTGCAGAAAGGATGAGAGCTGAACATCTGAGAAGAAACACTAAATATAAATGTTGACAACACCGGTCCTGAAATCCCATGCTATAATTGCAAAAGACTTTTCTAAACATTGGTGGGTCTTGCTAGTGACACTTGCATCACAATGGACTGCCAGTCTAATGCCACATAGCACACTATAAAACTATTGTCTGGAAAAACAGAAAGGTGCCAGTGACTGACATTTCAACTTCACTACAAACAGGTCACCCCACAATTTGTCAGTTGCAATACCGCATAGTTTAAATCAGCATTTAATGATGCACCAGACATGAATCCTGTTAATTGAAATATATATATGACATTGTCTTTTGCTACAGTGTACATGTTACTGGTAGAATTCTAAGTTTATCCATATGATCTATGCAGAATACTTGTTAAATGCATTCAACATTAATTGTATTTAGTTTGAAAATTAGATTTGTGGGCAGTAATAAGCACCAAGTTAACCAAAAAACTACTATTTTCAAAAGCAGATATGGACAAATGCTTTGATACATATTACCAGGAAAGAGGCTGCAATTGATATTTACATGTTAGATGAAATACCACATAAAGAAAATCGGGTGATAAAGTCTTTGATATTTTGAGATTAATTTTAAAGCAGTTTTAAATTAATGTTTCAGTTTTGTTGAATCTGCCTACTCTTTAGAAAACAGGAGACATTTTTTACAAATCTGCCTGCGTTTAGAAAACCGAGGAGCTTTGTTGAACCTGCCTAGGCTTAGAAAACATGAGGAGTTATGTTGAATTTGCCTAGGCTTAGAAAACATGAGGAGCTTTGTTGAAACTGCCTAGGCTTAGAAAACATAAGGAGTTTTGTTGAATCTGCCTAGGCTTTAAAAACATGAGGAGTTTTGTTGAATCTGCCTACTCTTAGAAAACATGAGGAGTTTTGTTGAATCTGCCTAGGCTTTAAAAACATGAGGAGTTTTGTTGAATCTGCCTAGGCTTAGAAAACATGAGGAGTTTTGTTGAATCTGCCTAGGCTTAGAAAACATGAGGAGTTTTGTTGAATCTGCCTAGGCTTAGAAAACATGAGGAGTTTTGTTAAATCTGCCTAGGCTTAGAAAACATGAGGAGTTTTGTTGAATCTGCCTAGGCTTAGAAAACATGAGGAGCTTTGTTGAACCTGCCTAGGCTTAGAAAACATAAGGAGTTTTGTTGAATCTGCCTAGGCTTTAAAAACATGAGGAGTTTTGTTGAATCTGCCTAGGCTTAGAAAACATGAGGAGTTTTGTTGAATCTGCCTAGGCTTAGAAAACATGAGGAGTTTTGTTAAATCTGCCTAGGCTTAGAAAACATGAGGAGTTTTGTTGAATCTGCCTAGGCTTAGAAAACATGAGGAGCTTTGTTGAACCTGCCTAGGCTTAGAAAACATAAGGAGTTTTGTTGAATCTGCCTAGGCTTTAAAAACATGAGGAGTTTTGTTGAATCTGCCTAGGCTTAGAAAACATGAGGAGTTTTGTTGAATCTGCCTACTCTTAGAAAACATGAGGAGTTTTGTTGAATCTGCCTAGGCTTTAAAAACATGAGGAGTTTTGTTGAATATGCCTACTCTTAGAAAGCATGAGGAGTTTTGTTGAATCTGCCTAGGCTTAGAAAACATGAGGAGTTTTGTTGAATCTGCCTAGGCTTAGAAAACATGAGGAGTTTTGTTGAATCTGCCTAGGCTTAGAAAACATGAGGAGTTTTCTTCAGCTAAAAAATAATGTACCTTCTGTTATTTAATCTTTTTAGGTTGCCAGACAGTCATATGAAACAATGAAAGGTCCAAATTCCTCAATTCTTGGAAAGAAATTTCTGCAAGAATATAAGGTACAGTAAATAGTGATAAAGTTATTCTAGTTTTTAAAGTCATTCAAAAAAGAATTATTAATAGTTTGTGAATAATTCCTTTCTTGGTTTTTAAAATTTGTTTCTCATTACCTGATTTTAATTTCATAAAAGGCCACATTTTACAGTTTGTTAAAGAAATCATGAATAATTGCGGGTAAAAAAGATGACTGGAGTATAAAAGTAAAATATTGTCAGTGGGGACAGTTATTCATATCTTCTTCAGCGATCTCTGGTCATGCGCATAATTCACTGTGGGCCATAAACTGGGATGTCTTTTCAAGGTCTCTTAAGTTTCCCTAAAGCTTAGTTGTCAGTTCTACTGGGTGTTGCCATATGTCGCTCCACGGCTTCACCAAGAGAGGACAGTCTTGCAGGACATGTTCTGGAGTCTGTTCAGCACAAAGACACTGGCAGAGAGATGTTTGGCTCATACCTAATTTATGTGAGTGTTTATTGAGTCTGCAGTGTCCAATTCTATCATAATCACAACCTACATCAAAGCAAAATGGGAAACTATACAAACTGGATATTGGTCATATAAATAAATACATAAATTTAATGTAACAAATATATACTCTGAGAACTCAGTTAACACTATACATGTTACAATTTTAATAACTCTGAGGGTTTAACAGGATATTCTTGAAAAATTACTACTGGAGATTTTCTGGTGATTTTTGTTTCCTTTTATGGCTGATGTTTAGTTTGAAGGTTTGTGACTTATTGTGATTAATTGTTGACCTTTAAATTTTCATTTGAATATTTGGGTGGGGTGGGGGGTAATTTGAAACCATCATATCAACTATGGTGAATTACAGATGGGTTAAAGGTACTGAGGTGAATTCATGGGAACACGATGCCATGGATCATGTTGCATGGAGAGGAACAAATCAGGAACAAAATAAGAGCTGACGATGATGATGATGTTTTACCCCACCAGCACATCACACTAAGAGATAAAAACCCAGTGACACAAAGTGCCACAAATCGGACCCAGACATAGGTCCCAAAACCCCTGCTCAACCCATAGTTTGGGTTATGATTGGAGCCCATGGCAAAAGCTAGGGTGGGGCTTCAATATAACCCCCAAAAAATTGTGTTCCACAAGGGGATGGTCTTTGTGGAATAAGAGCAAAGCAGACATGAATGTATGTAGGTTACCTCTTTGGTACAGTAAAGGACCTCATGGTAAAAAGGTGAGAGTCTGGGAAAAAAACATGAAATACTTGTGATAGTCTGTGACCACAAAATCCTATATACTTTTGAGGTTTTTGTGTGTTAAAGCACACTGGTCTTGGCTAGTCATACTTAGCATCTTCATGGACTATGATTGTCATACATTCCTAAAATACACCATTATCAACTGGAAAAACAGAAAGATGCCATTTTTTTTATAGAAACAACACCTACAATAGATGAAACAAATATTTATCTGTGCTGTTTTAAATGTTTCAGAAATTTAAAAAAGAAATTGGTGTTGAAAACAACTTCACGGATAATGAGCTAAATGAAATCCTGGAGGTTTGTCTTCTTTTTTAGTGCACTCTTATTTTTGTGATTTGATGTTTGATTTTTTTCTTTTTTTTCTCTCTCCATTTTACCCTTTCCTAGCTGCTACTTAAAAGTTTGACAACATTGAGCTTAGTCTGAACCAAAAGCTGCCATTATTATCTTCTGCTTCTTCTTCGCGTACACCTGCTGTAAACTCTGGTAGAAAGTTCTGGTTTTTTATCCATCTCTGGACTTTAGACTTGCTTCAGAACCTGAGTGTTGTTACAAGATCTGACTGTTGGTTCCTTACTTCTCAGGCAGATGCACTCCAGCTTTGAAGGAAACTCCCAATGATTCAATCCTAAAACATTCTTGTTGGAGAGGCAGTGGCCTATTCTTGTTTTTTTTTCTCCCACAATGGAGCCCTAGGACCCACACAGAGAACTCGTTACTTCTGTATTTACCACTTTTGTGGTGCTGATGGTTTAGGGGCTCATGGTTAGTGCTGTCAATGTTGACTGTACACGTAAGGATTTTATTTTGGCCCCTGGTATTGCATGCACATCTGTTTCACAGATTTAGCTTATTTGTATGCAGAATATTGGTTGCTGTTGTGTGCAGAAGTCACTTTAATGTGTAAAGAGTTAATGAAGCAGGTCGTGGTGAAGCATGGGTACACACTGGCATTGGTCTTGTGTTGACAGTTTGTGAATGTAAACACTTGAGCCAATTATAGTTGTGAAACAGAGGTTGCTTGATATTCATGGGTGACTAAACACCCTAAGTTATGTGGGAAAAGTGAGCCCCATGTGTAACTCACCGCTGTTGGTGGGAGTGTGGTACCTTTAGTCAGTTGCTTTCAGTGGGTCTAAGTGTGGGCGTGAGTGTGAATTGTTAAAGTCCCACGTACGCATGGACTTAGTTGTGTGGCAGTTTTAACAAGTTTAATTCTGTTGGGGGCTCAGGTGAACTGTCTAGTGAATGCGGTGGATCACAAGTTGTATGTCAGAATGCTGTCAGAGTGATTTTCTAGAATAGACTTGTGTCCTGCCATGTGTGTGGGGTTGGCAAATTTTCAGTTGTGTGGCATGATGGTTGATGGGGTGTCTTCAAGTGCTGCAGAAAATGCTATGGTAACTGTGTGTGTTGATCAATGTGGAGTTTTGATGGGGATTTATTGGTAATGCTGGTCAGTGGAGAGCAGAGTCCCTCAGTTAGTTAGTTAGTTGGGATATGATGATTGGCACTCCTTTCCTCAATATGAACCCCAGCGTCCTGTGACTAATAGTGCGGGGTCCCTTAGTTAACACGGATTGTAGTGGTTAATTAAAGGGTGATCAGTGATACTTCAACGAGTGACTGGGTAGAAGACTGAAGAATTCTCTTCACTAAGTGGTGCATCTACCTTGGGCTCTCAGGTGGCCGGGCCTGTTTCAGAGGGAAGGTTGTCAGAGGACTGTCACTGCACATCATGTAGGTGTATCTACACGATTAGGCGCGGGTCACCTGTAGCAGCCACCTTGTACATAGTTCGCAGGGTGTTTTTGTCCATGTCTGGAAAGACTGCTGATGTTAGTATATTTGACAGGTATGTGGTAGACGGACAGTGATTTGTTCACTGATCCCCACTTCATTGTCTTGGCAACATGTTCAAATATAATAAAGAGACTGATCACACTATAAGATCATACTTGGGGTGGTGCGTTGTATTACAGTGTTCTTATGTAGTGTTGGTGGTTACAATAGGACATTTAACCAGTGCCAGATATATTGTAGTTGTTTACTTGTTACTTGTGGCTAGCTTATTGTAGTGCTCCTGTTGTCGTTAGCCTCTCCTTGCTAACCTGTAGGAACCCAATAGTTTTTTTGTCATTTGAGGGAGCTTTTGTATGCGACTGGAGCACGTCATACCCCCTGGATTCTTGGTAGGATGCGTTATCCATAAGAGCGCATTTAACAGTTCCTTACCACTCAGTCAAATCACCCCGACTTAGACGGAAACTCTAATTAGTCGACTCGTACAACATGCTTGCTAGGGAGGTGTTGGGTCTCTTCTTTTTTCCCCCATAACGAAGTGAGAACCCACATCGAGAAACAAGACATGTTTTGTAATAATATCACTTCCATTCTGTGTACCTTATCCAAGTCACACGTTTTGGAAACAATGCCATTTTCCATTATGTAAAATATAATTGTGGTGATATATACAATCTCCTCTAGGATGTAGAGGAAGGCGAGGATGTTAAAGAGATTTTGGACAAACTGCCTCACAGACCCAAGCGATGGGTAAGTACTTAACAAAAATGGGTTCAGTATTAATGTTTGGACCTATTTTACTGCCAGCATTTTTTTTATAACAATTTATATTCAAATAATGAGGACACTAGACATTACATAATTTGTTATGGGTATATAAGTAAAGAAACTACTGGACATAACATAGGGGCTGTTGGGGTTGGTTCTGCAACGTCCTGTAAAGGATACACAACTAACCTTGATATAAGTAAAGGGCCCTTTTTTTGTCAGTCATACATGAGGTATATATGATGTTAGATTCATATTTTTATAGACCAGAGGATCTGGCCGACACTGAGATCTCACCGGAGGGGCAAAGGGAGGGATGAGATACAGTCATACTGATACTGATGTCATCAGAATTTGAACTTTGCGCTTACTGCTGAATATGGCAATAGAGCACCTATGGGAATGCCCATATTGCTTTGATATTATCAACTCATAACTCATAAATATATCGACACTCAATGGGTGATATGGTCAACATCATGCTGGCTATCTTTACTCCCCATGAAATTTCCTGGTACTCAGTTTAGGCTAGGAGCTGAAGTCATTTTGAATGCCTTCCTTGATGCAGATTTCAACCACAGATCAAGCAGTCAGCCTGGCATCTAGCCACTACTCTACTGCAGCTCCTGCTCAGTGTATTGCCTGGCACATCTTGCTGTCTAATCAGGTTCTTCACTACAGTTGATATCTTCTTCTCTAGTTCTGTTCTGCCTTTCTTTGTCAGGTTTTGAAGAGCCTTGGATGCCTTGGTATGTGGTACATAGATGCTAGTAGTTACAGCCTCAGATATTGATCCTAATTGATCGTTCACCTGCTAATAGGGAACTGACAAGCCAATGGTGCAAAGCTACGATCTGAGGGTTAATGGCTGGTCACCTGTTTGGATGGACGACAATATTCTTAGCACCAGTGTGTCGTTTGTATGATTGCAAGGCTGTCATACAAAATTGGAACGAGTATATATACCCTTATTCCTAAATGCTCATCCCACAGTACGCTTTATTTTAAGTGTATTGGTGAATTGGAAAGAAACTCCTTTCCTTTTGGGGTTAAACAAAGCATAGGGAGATCATGACGCATGGGAAACATGTGGTCTCTATAGAACAGCCCAGATTTTGTGCTATGAAAGTGTCTTGCACAACACAGTATAACAGCTCTTCTTCTTCTTCTTCTTCACTTCCCTATTTAACTGCTTCTCAAATTGAGGGAGATGTAAGTTTCTGCCTCTTGCCGCCTCAGCCATAGATACATTGTGCTGCTATAGAGTTTCTCTGATGTTATCATTTCATTATGTTCTTGTTCTACCTTGTGCTCTGTATCCTTCGCCTCTTTTGGTATTTGCTTAATATGGTAGGGCATCACAAGGCATTCTCTAATTGGGCAAACCACTTGATCTGCTATGTATTTTGAAATTGGTTCTGTGCCAACTTGTTCTCTTATGACCTAATTTCTGATTTTATCCCTTTAGTCACTCCTGCAGCCCTTCTCAGACATCTCATTTATGGTTATTAATTTTCTTTTCTGTTTTGTTGTGAGTGACCATGTCTGGCACTGGTAGCATAGGGTGGGAATGAATATACTTTGTATGAGATATTTTTTTGTGTCAAATGGGATTGTCTTATGCTTATGAAGAAAAAAGGGGGCGGGGGTGCTAGCTGTCCCAATACTGGTTTGCATTATAACACTATCGTCTGAAAAAACGGAAAGGTTCAGTGATATTTACTCTGTTTAGATGAAATACCTCAGCATAATATAATAAAACATCAAAAAAAGCTGAAATACACACATAAGATAATAAATTATGCAATATATTTTGTGTGTGACCTCATTATTTAAATTCACAATGTGAAATCATTGTTTTGTATGTGTATTCAGTTTTGTGAGTACCCATTATAAAAAGCTGCGCATGTTTATTCAGAGTCACTAAACTCCTAAAGTTTCATTGAATAGTTTATTGTATTTTCGCATGTAAAAAATTGTTTGATTTTTGTGGTTGTATGTTGTGTGTGTGTGTGTGTGTGTGTGTGTGTGGCTTATTTAGAATGTCAGTATTTAACTTTGTGTGTAATATAAATAAGTTGTGGTAGGTTAACATGTTTGAGTACCTGCCTGTTAGTCATGTGTTTAGATCCCATCTTAAGCAGGTGTGTTTTAACTGACCTAGGCTGCTGGTTTCATCATCATTATCATTATCATCATCTTCACCATCATTACCATCGCCATCATTATCATCAACATCTCCCTAGGTGCCATTATACTCGTATGTCCAAAATTCTTGCAGTACTTCCACATTCTGCTCTGCTCTTTGCAGTCTTTTCAATATTATGAATATGGGTTTCTGGAAATATTCTGGGAGGTAAATGGAAGCTGGTGTAATGTTGACCATATAATCAGGTAGTGACTGCCCTAAAATATTGTTTTTTTCACCATAAACCCATTTGCCTTAGTTTGAAAGTGGGGTCCAACACAACACAGTCCTACACAACCAGACCTACATTTTATAGACCAATCTGCACAAGATGGGTGATGTGGTCAGCATCACGCCGGCCACCTTTACTTCCCGGGACTGCACAGTGTTAGCGCAGCTGATAGGAGGCTCGCTTTCAAATCCAGCTGTGACTTACTGCAGCCCATGGCCGGTTACTGGGGTTCACCCAGCCTCTAGGAAATGGGTACCAGAGTTAACACTCTAGGGTAAATTGAGGAACATCGCTGTAGCTACAGAGTTTCGCTCAGACGGCGACACAGGCGGACAGTTTCTTATCAGCTGTCTGCACTGGTGGCAGAGCACTTATGGTTTATAACCGTGTGCAATGACGCTGGTTCACATCACCTGACTCTACCTTTACCTCTTTTTGTTTAAACATGTCTGTCACGTTTTCTTTTTCCCTTCTTCTTTCTTCTTCTTTTTCTTCTTCTCCTCCTCCTCCTCCTACCCTTAAAAGGGTTGAATAACAATGTATTGTGGTATACAGCTGGGCTGCAATATCTGTGCCTTTCAGCTAAACACATCCAACTTCACAAACCCTTAATTAGCCAGCGTCTATGATACGCTTGTTAGGCATTTATTTTCTTATTAAAATGGGGCACCGGTGCATGTTATTGTTTGATTTAAGTTTCAGCTGTTTCAGTTTTGCTTATTCATAATAGCTATAATGTTTATATTTTAATTTGGCAGTTTGTGATGATTGCATGTTTGTATGTGATGTGTTAATTTATGTTTATTCCATTTATTTTGTTTTAGTTTATGTTCACCCAGTTTATTTTGCTATAATTTATGTTTATTCCGTTAATTTTGCTTTCAAACGTTTATAGAACCCAGTGTCCTCAGGAGTAAGTACTAAGTTGACTGAGAGTAGTTTTCCTTGAATGGATTCCATATTTTCCATCCTTTTTTTCTATAGTTGAATGTTTATGGCATCCGAGGCTGCAGAAACAGCTGTTGAAATTTATCAGAATGTAGCCTTTTATTTATGTTAAAAAAAACCCAACAGTTTAAGATGTTTGCAATTTAAATTGAAACATAAAACAGTGTTAATTTTAGTTATTGACTGGGCAGTTAGGGTCTTGGTCTCTCAATCATAAAGTGTTCTTATTACAGTAAATCAACAAATTTTGTTTTTCTAGTTGAGATAAAATAAACAGCTTAGATAGATATACTCATAGGTCAACCCCTACCATACAGGACTGGAGGGTACACAAAGCTGTATTTGGTGTAGCTTTATAGATTAAATATAGTCTATGGGAATTATCCTGTTTATTTGACATCCAGATAAGATTTATAAAGTCTTATCTTCTTTTTCTTCGCATTCACCAGCAGCAAACTCCGGCAGAAGGTTCTGGTTGTTTGTCCACTTCTGGACTCCAGTCCAGTTCCAGAACCTAATTGTTGCATGTACATCTGTTTCACAGATCTGACTCATTTGCAGGACTAGAGTTCAGAAGAGGACAAACAACCAGACCTACATTTTATAGACCAATCTGCAGAAGATGGGTGATGTGCTCAGCATCACGCCGGCCACCTTTACTTCCCGGGACTGCACCCAGTACCCATTAAGGCTGGGTCGATCTGTTAGTAAAAGCCATTTCTGAAAAAATCCTAGCTCCACTAGGGAGCAAACCCATGGCCTTGTGATCCGCATGCGAGCGTCCAGCTGCTATGCATACGGCGACTCCCTTAAAAAACTATCAATAATAATTATTCTGTGAATTTACTAAAATTCTCATTAGATTTCTGTAGTGAGTGAATAGAAAAAAAACTGTTTGCTGTGGCATCTAACTAGAATATCTCCCTAACGGACCTGGATGTGCTTTTGTGTGCTGTATTTTCTTAATTTGTGCTCTTGCACTGAGGATTTATTCTTCTGCTCAGTATTCCTTAGTGGAGTTAAGGCCTTCAACCAACGCACTCCAGGTCACTCTGTCTTTTGCTAGTGCATGCAGCTCCCCCCATGTTCTCTCCATTTTTTCAACTTCACTTTCCAGCTCCCTCCTCGGTGATCGGTGGGTTACATCATGTTATCATTTACGGAAAAATTTTATGTCAACTTGGCTTTAAATAAGTATTTGGTTTGAAGGTCTCCCCCCCCCCCCCCCCCCCCCTCCCCCCCCCCCTCCCTTTTCCCCATAGACAAGTCAGAAAAATGACATTTACGAGGAATTAGCCCCAGCTGGAAATGTTGGTTTTGTGGCTTTTTCACATACATACTCACAGATACACATTGTATTGACAGATATATACACTCACACAAAGCATTGTGTTGACATCCCCTCATGTCACATATGAACACACGCACATATATATATACACACACACACTCATGCAAGCACATTGTATTGACATAAACACACACACCCAGACATATAACATTGGCACACAGTTCCATTGAATCTTCAAAAGATATATTCTTAAAGCGGTAGACATTGTTTTTCTAAAAAAGACTAACCTTATGATGTAAACAGTGATGTAGTAATAAGTTTAG